ATGAGATGATATGCCGTTCATATGGAGTATTTCCTTTTCTTTATGTATGGATAATTTTTTGTCAGTTTCATCCTTGAGCAAAGGTTCTGAATATGCAACCCCCTTCCCCCTCCCCATATACACATGAGTCAACAAGAAATAGCTGACACAGGCCGGGCCACTCTGGAGAAAAGGCCCGGGCGAAGCTAGACTTTGCAAATCTAACTGAACTAAACTGAACCCCCCCCAAAATTATCACCACAAAAATTTAATGAAACATAATTTAGGCTAGTAAAATTTCATTAAAATCTGTCCATAACTTTTTGAGTTAGAAAAAAAAAAAAAAAAAAAAAAAAATCTGGAGCTGAATCATGATCCAGTTCACCACCAAAATGTAATGAAATATAAGTTAGGCTAGGACACAACTATAATTAAAATCTGCTCATAACTTCTTGAATTATCCTGGAAACTATACAAGCACACAAATAAACAAACAATCAAAAGACAAACAAACAAACAAACAAAAATAGGTAACCATATAAATAAACCCTATATTTGCATATCTGTATTTCACAAGCGTGTTGGTGTGAAAGGTTGGTGTTGCATCCCGCAGAGTTACAAGGCCTGGTAAAATACGTACACACGGCCCGTTCTCTTGCGTCCCGGCCTGTGAGAGTGATTTTCACAGGCATGGAGAGCAATCATATTTCAGACCAGTGTTATATGATGTAAAACCCCCATTGGAGTAATAAAGGAAAATAATAGTTGATTATATCATACAGAACTATTTCATAGAGCATTTGTTATCGAAACTGTAAAAAATATGAAGAGGAGAAAAATCGCGAAATTTCCATATACACTACATTTTTACGCGTAGCACATGCAATCTTCATCCGAAATAAATATATTATGCCTCATTTCGTAACTGAATCATAGATCTATTGCATGTTCCACATGATTTTTGCAATTTTTTCCTGTGCTTCTTGTAAAGGTAACATATATATAAAAAAATATCACTTTTTATGGTGTCCTAAAAGTTGTCTGCTTAGGTCACACACTAGATAAAAGGTTGTTCTGTTCAAAAATGAAATCAGAACGCCTGTCACTTTCTTTTTTGGATTTTAAAGAAATTTTCAAAAATGGTCATGCTCAGAAACACCCCAAATCAGTGCAACCCTACAATAACAAATACTTTGAAATGCTAATGATAGAGGATTTATCAAAAAAGACAACAAAAACCTAATTTTGTTAATACAAAAAAAAAAAATGAAAATCGATCTCGAAACCTTGGTAGCCTTCAGAAGCTGTAGCATACTCAGTTTTTGACCAAAATAAACGTTTTATGGCTTATTTTGGAGCTGAATGATAAATCTTTGTCTCATTTAATTTTTGCAATATTTCCCTGTGCTTCTTGTAAAAATGACATATATGTCAAAAAATAATTTTTTATGGTGTTCTAAAAGTTGGTTACATCAGTCAAAATCGAAAAAAGTCAAACACTAGATTTAGGATGATTCTGTTCAAAGATCACATCAGAATGCATGTGTAATTTTTTCTAGATTTTCTTGTTTTTGAATCTTTGTCAGTTTTCAAACATAGGAACTATGTTCTTTCCTTTTTTTGACTATAACTTTAAAAAAAATCAACCTAAGATATCTCACTAAGGTCTAAATAAAAGGATGAAAAATCAATCAAGGAAAATTTAAAATAGAAAAAAAAGTTGGTTGCCTTACCAATAATTAACAATAATAATTGTTAATTTAGAATTTATGAAATAAGAAAATAGCAATAATAATGATAATAATAACAATGATAATAATAAATATATAATAAAATTATATAATTATGATAATAAAAACTACAATATTCATAGTGATAACTGCAGAGAAAGGTATGAAATTCAATATCTTCAAAGCACAAGAGATTTTCTGATGGCCATATCTTTATCAGAAATATAATCATTCTCATTCATACCTTTTGCAATGATAACAATAATATATTTTTTTATAACAATAATAATAATAGCAACAATAATAATAAAAAATAATGATAATAACAACTAAAACATAAAACTCAACAACACCAATAGTAATGACCAATAATTTTCTTCAGAATATCAAAATAATAGGCAAAACGCTTAAGAACTCACTATTCTTTGACTCGAGAATGCTGACAGCCTTGTTAAAGTACTGGCTAAAGATGGTGTTGGGGGACCTGGCCCTGGAGTCCATCAGGATGCAGCCATACAGGTTCAGACTCTGACACAACACTTCCTCTTGCTCTGGCTCCAGCTTTACCTGCAATAATAGCATAATGATAAGAAAATAATAATCATTAAACTGATCTGCATATTTTGGTTGGAAATGAATTTATACATGCAGTTCCTGCTGGTGTTTTATTTCCACATAACAGTGCTCTAGAAATACTTAGTAGCCAAGGATCAATAATTAAGCCTCTGAAAGAAAGAGAGAGAGAGAGAGAGAGAGAGAGAGAGAGAGAGAGAGAGAGAGAGAGAGAGAGAGAGAGAGAGAGAGAGAGAGAGAGAGAGAGAGAGAGAGAGAGAGAGAGAGAGAGAGAGAGAGAGAGAGAGAGAGAGAGAGAGAGAGAGAGAGAGAGAGAGAGAGAGAGAGAGAGAGAGAGAGAGAGAGAGAGACAGAGAGAGAAGAGAGAGAGAGAGACAGAGAGACAGAGAGAGACAGAGAGACAGAGAGACAGAGAGACAGAGAGACAGAGACAGAGAGACAGAGAGACAGAGAGACAGAGAGACAGAGAGACAGAGAGACAGAGAGACAGAGAGACAGGGAGACAGGGAGACAGGGAGACAGAGAGACAGAGAGACAGAGAGACAGAGAGACAGAGAGACAGAGAGACAGAGAGACAGAGAGACAGACAGACAGACAGACAGAGACAGACAGACAGAGAGAGAGACAGACAGAGAAGAGAGAGAGAGAGAGAGAGAGAGACAGAGAGAGAGAGAGAAGAGAGAGAGAGAGAACAGAGAGAGAGACAGAGAGAGAGAGACAGAGAGAGAGAGAGAGAGAGAGACAGAGAGAGAGAGACAGAGAGAGAGAGACAGAGAGGACAGAGAGAGAGAGAGACAGAGAGAGAGAGACAGAGAGAGAGAGAGAGAGAGAGACAGAGAGAGAGAGAAGAGAGAGAGAGAGACAGAGAGAGAGAGAAGAGAGAGAGAGAGCAGAGAGAGAGAGAGACAGAAGAGAAGACAGACAGAGAGAGAGAGAGAGATGGAGAGAGAGAGAGAGAGAATGAGTGTAAAGAGGGATAAAAATAAATAACAATGGGAGAATGTACCCCTTCCATCTCTTCAAGCAGTGAGCTGAGAATCTGTCCTGCATCCTGGCTGTCTCCCTTACACCTGGCTACATGGGCCTCCTCCAGCCGCGTCCTCCAGGCCATGCTCTTAGAGACGTCCAGCCTTGCTGTCTGCTGCAGGGCTGATTCACACCTTGTCCCATGGATCCTCAGGCTCTCCCTTGATAGCATGCTTTTGCTTAGCTATTAAAGGCAAGATATAAGAAATGCATTATTTGGTGGGTTGTGTTTTATGCTTTAGTGTGGTTTATGAAAAACAATAATGCCAGATTATTATCTTAATCTTGGATTTTATCTATGTATTTATTCTTTTTACTACATTTACCAGATATCCACTCCTCTATCTCTCAGATAATGAATCAAAGCAACACTTAAACAAAGACACAGACACACAAACACACAGACAGACAGAGACAGACACACACAAACACACACACACACCAGAGTCTTATGGAGGAGGCTGGTGCTAGAAGCACCGTGTCTCGCAGGGAGGGACTGAAGCACAGAAATCCTTGCTGCCAGGATGGACTCCTTGTAACGGAAGTCCACATTGAACGGCTGATCTTTCGAGGCCCACAACTCCTCCAACTCTCCTATTGCTCTGTGTGACTGTAGAGAGAGAGAAAGAAAGAAAAAAAAAGAGATTGATGGAAAAAATTTCAAGGATACCCTAATTTGGAGGGGTTTCTAATATGGCATTTTTTATTTCTTTCTATTACTCGATCACCTTCAACTGATAAACTAAAAATAAGAAAGAGAATTTTGTTTCAAATATGAAGACTAATCACTTATCATAACCATTAAATTTAAATCAAAATAACTAGTAAATCATCCAAACATTTCTGTCACACAACCTTACTATAATGCTTAAACTTGAACTTATGATCTGAAGAAGTGAAATTAACACCAACAGTGGGTAAACATAACTAATATCAAATAAAGAAGCAAAGAAATAGTGACAACCAAAATGCAACCAACAATAAAAAACTAAATGTTCGAGGCTTACCTCATCAAGTGACTCAGCTTTACTCAAGAGTAAGGATGCTGCCTCAACTTCACTCAGGATCTGCAGCTGAGTCAGCAACGGGTACACAGAGCTGCTACTTTCTGCTCGACTCTGGTTTGTAAACAAGATCATGTCATAAAGAATGGTGATCAGTCTTGAAAAATCCTCTTCCACATTGTAAAGTCATAAGTTGGTCAGTAGGACTTAGAAAGAGAGTAGGATATAATATGAATATGGAAGATACCACATTTATAGGCTAAAAACGAGATTGGTAAGACCATCAAAAACCTTTTACATCCATCATGCACCCATCCTTGCCTTCTTCCAAAACACAAACAGATATAAATAAAACCAACTCCATCCATCCAGCGGCATGGCCTACATGGTCAAGCCACTAGATGGAGTTAAAAACAAGAAAAGTCAACCTGGCTGGATCTATACACTTCCCCAGGTAAATCTTTATTTCAAAAAAGCCTATTTACGTGACTTCTGAGATCTACGATAGGTGAATTTTGAGAGATGAGGTGGTCATAGAGAACCTTCCCCACTTCCTCTCTTATTCATCTATCTACTGGGCCAATCCCTCCCTACTCAAACTTAAAAATCAGCAATGAAATTAGCCTTACATTTCTTATCTGAGTAATGACTCCCTTCTTGGCTTGGAGTGCATGATGCATGAGACCCCCTGCCTCCTGGTGGCGTAGACATTGGAGGCTGTGGAACAAGTGCTTGTGAAAGTTCCATCCATCCATTTCATCTGTCCCATTAGTGTGTGATTCTTCTTCTGTCTTCCCCAAGTCCAGGTCCCACTGTGCGAGTCTCCAGGCTGATTCCCACCTATGGGATATCATTAATTGAGCAACTGGATTTGTATGAGGGAAATTTTCATATGGGTGTGCACAGAAGAGCAGAAGTCATCAGTAAATGCAGTCACTGACGAAATTTTAAAAGATCATAAAAAACACAAGAAAGAAAAAATGGTGCTACTTATACATATAAAAAAGAACACCAAAATCAAAGACCTCTCACTCTAAACTAAAATATCCTCCCTAAACCTAAATAACTCACTGAGCAGCTGAAAGCTCTGGTGAGAGCTTGGCTGATGTTCTACTGAGTATCTGATTTACGGTGTTGAAGAAGCCGAGCTCTTGCAGACTGGTAATCATTCCTGGAGACAGAGGAAGAAATGTGAATATATTTTGACTTATTCATCAAAAGAAAATTTTCTTACTTAACACCTAGGTAATGGTACAACAAATACAAAGCAAATAAATATATAAGTCAAACCACAAAATAATAACACAAAACACCAACCAAAGGTGGAATTTGCAGCATCATGGATGGCGAGCGTCTCCATCCACTGACCCCTATGCTGGCACCTCAAAGCTCTTGAAGTGGTGTGAGCAAGCTTGCTTCCACCACCACAGCCTTCTACACCATCACTGTCTCCAAGAGTACTGTATATCTGAGAAAAACAGCTTATCTAAGAACCTAGTAAACATTTACATTTTTATTTATATCTACAATCAACTTTAACCAAATCATAAAAGAGAGTATATACACAACTAATAGCATTACTTTCACTTGACATCTATCTACAGCAGATTAGATTTTAAACAATTCTAATAAGGTGGCTTCCTAAACGCATGCAGTCCTTTCTGTAGAACCCTTTTCTCTGGCAACCCCTCCCATCCCATTTGTTGATCTTAGCAGCAGAGAGCATCATCATCTGCTCTAAAATTTACTGCTGCCCCCAATATTATAAACCAAAGTTGCATGTCCAAATGACAAATATTAAACTCATCAAAAGAATGAGAGTAACTTAAAATTCAAATGCAAACTAACACAAGAGATTTTCATAACTAGATGATGTAATCAAAACAAAGTAAATTGGAGAATAATTTATAAATACAGTTTATTAGACACTATATTAGGTTCATGTGACACCTATGAAATCTTGTGGCAACTCTTGGTTCTGCTCAAAGCACCCGAAGGTGCTGCAACACCTACTATGTGAATAATAGTCTAATGTCTTTCATTTAACACCATATCATACCTGTAGCATGAGCCTTCTGATAACAGTGTTCTCAGGCAGGTGTGACAGGCGGCAGAGTGGGGGAACCTGTCTGGAATTTACATCTGTCTCTTTGTCGCTGTTCTCCCTTATCTCATGCTCTAGCTCTTCACCTGCAAAGGGGGTTGCAACTAATGTGAAAATAGAGAAAATGTAAAATGGAAGGAGCTGGATTCTAGACTATACGAGAAGAGAGTCTACTTCATTGCACCCATGAATATCAATAAAAAAAAATGACACCGCTTCTCTCATCCCAGTTTAGATACACTGATTACTGCCCCCCCCCCACAAAATCACAAAAATTAGGAAAGCCCAAACAAAACTGGGAGTCAAAATTTAACCCCTTGGACATTGCGGTCACATCACAGAAAAATTTGCGCTGCTGCCCAGGTGACATAAACATGCCGTCAACTGGGCAAATTGGCAGCGGCCGGTAACAACGAACTGCCGTTATGGGCGAAGGCCGGGATGACGGGAAAGACTCACCACGAGTGCACAAACCTCTTGGAGTGTGATTTGACTCATTTGGTGCTTAGAAGGGGGCTTTATTTCACGAATGTGGAATGAAATGTGCAAAAGCTGTGACTGGAAGAGCACTGGCTCCAGGAAGGACACCATATCCATGTTGTGCACTGTATTCCTGGCCGCTGTGACTGGCGGTGCAAGTTGTTTTACTTAAAATTGAAAATTACGAATAAATTAGATATTTGACACAAATAACCAAATGTTCCATATTTTTTTTCTTGCACTGAGGTATTTACTAAATAGAAAGATGATATGGAGTCTGTGGCAAAGAAAATAAGTAATTACCATCTGGATAAAATAAATCAATAGACAAATATTGACGTTGGAAAATGGTGATAAAGCTAAAAAAATTCACACAAAATCACTTTGCAAAAGGGAGGTACAGAGTCTTGTCACCGCTCATGGGTGTTCATGCATGTCCTGTCTGCACGCTGCACGGACAGGATATTGGCCACTTACATAACCCATTGCCCAGGTTTTCATCTCCGCGATTTCTGTGATGCAACCAGATTCAAAGGGTTAATACCTAGGGCCATAAAACTTACTGCTGAGATGGAGGTAGAGGATGGCAGAGAAGTGAGCTCCA